GAAATGACGCCTGCCGAACTCCAAATTCATCTATGGATAATAATGTAAAAAAACCCTAAACCCTAACAGATTCGATGTCTGGGTGGTCTTGGGGTGGGATGTCGCGTCCAGCTGGGCGCGCCGCCCCGCGACCCTCTGGGTCGAGGCGCGCCGCTTGCGATGGGAAACCCTAAACCCTAAACCCTAAACCCTAAACCCTAAACCCTTTCAAGGAAAGTCTCGTTGCCGGGAAACCCCACAGGGTTTCAGGGCCGGAGATGCGGGTTCTGGTGGGGAAGACGCCTCGGAAAGGCGAAAATCCAAGAGAACGAGGGACAACACTCCGGCTTGAAACGCAACTTTAAGGGTTCAAGGATCAAGGAGGCAGGGATGTTACATGTTTTGCGGACCTTCAGTTCTAGAAGCTGGAGCTTTCGTGTCAATTTTGCTCGAAGTGTTCGAGCAGAACCGGATTTAGCCGCCTCACCGGCAGATTTTAGAAGCAAGGCACAAGACTGACAGTCCGCGGCAGGTAGGGAAGTTGGTCTTTCGTGTTGCTTGTGGATTGGCAAAGTTCCCAAAGATAACATATAACCTGATAGAACAGAAAAGAACAGAATAGAAAAGCACTGCATGTTGATACTATGTTGTATGCTTACAAGTTTTGACGTATTGCAATAAGATAATCACTATATTTTAGTTGATATATCGTGTAGTAAAGCCTGACCATCTATCAGAAGACTCATTCAGAGGAAGGCTTGCGGTCTTCAAGTTACTGTAAGATTCGATGACAAGATATGCTGGGGCAGCGTCTCATACAGTATAAACACTGACCCCCAAACCCTAAACCCTACACCCTGAACCCTAAACCCTGTTTTTTTTTGTGGGGGGGTGGGTACCAAGAAGGAAGAATCAGGTTCCACTCAAAGTCTGGTCGGTCCCCCCGGAGCCTTGCCTTCTATACTACTTACCGACATGGGATAATTGTACATGTCCCTTATTGTTTGACACAGAACGCTGTTCATGTGTATTTTTTGTTGGGGGTGAGGGGGGGGGGGGTTGAAATCGACACCTAGTATAAGGGCGCTGCGACAGCGTGCTGGAGGGCTCTGGAAGGGACTGTCAGGATTTTCTTGTTTGTTTTTTTACGGGCTTCTGGGCTTTAGGATGCAGGGGCTGAGGGCTCAGGGGTGATCAAGCCAGGCTGCCCGTTTGGGCTATGGGACGCTGGCCCAAAACCCTCATCCCTAGACCGGAATCCCTGAGCCCAAAAACCTAAACCACAATCCCGTAATCTCTTATTCCTGAACCCGAACCCAAAACCCTTCCTGATGGAAAGGTTTAAGAGCGAGCTGCGCAAGGTGACCAGCTGTGGCCCCAGATTCTGGATCTGGGGTTGGGCTGCTTTCGGATTTGACAGAGATCCGCAAAGTAGCACTTGTAGTACTTTCACTCCTGGATCTCAAAGAGAGGTCTTCTGGGTGCAGAAATCGGAGCTTCAGGCTCCAAGCTGTACATGGGTTGTAGGTTTCAGGGTTCATACGTGTGTGTGTGTGTGTCGCCACCTTTGCTGCTTAGTAGTAGAGTAGGTAAACTAAAGCGTTTTTTGGGTACTGGACCCATATAATCCCAGAGGTGAATCCTTAACCTAATTCAGTTCCCCTAGTATACTGAGCAAGGAAGGCTGTCATGGAAGCTAAGACAGACTACATCGCGAGCTGGAGTCCAGATGTTCAGGGCGTGAAGAAGGTCGCCTAGATCCTCCGGCCGTCAGCACTTGTGCTGACTTCAGGTGAGGATAACGAAGCGACAGAGAAACACTCTCACCCAAACCACGTGCCCAAAAGGGTGTGCGTCGAAACACCTGCACAACCTTGGAATGCAAGCAGGACGCACTGAACTCGCAAACGTTCTGCGAAGCGAAAGCCGCTATAAACCCGCGACACCCAAAACAACTGGCTTGACAACGGCACGCCAGGACAGCTGACTCGTTCCAGACTGCACTCGAAATAACCCGAAACCCCGAGCTTTAAGACCCAAAGCCCCAAATCACCCAAATCGAATCTTGACCCTGGAAAAGTTAGTCCCGAACCCCGAAACCCCACACTCCAAAACCCTAAACCCCACACCTCCGAGGTCTAAACCCACTTCAGGCGAGCATCCTCGCAAAGTCCTCAGGTCCATGCAGCATCCAACCGCATCAAAGAGCCGTTTTAGTCTCCCTGGTTCTTAGTATGGAATGAGGGAACGGATCCCGATGATAGCCCCCTTGGGTCCTCTGCAACCCAGTCCCTACTAAGAACCAGTAGTTATCCAATGTGTTTGGGTTCAAAGGTTTTTGCTGAAACTTTTTTTGCGGGTTTAGGCTGTTAGCTGCAAGCTGTGGGCTTCGGGTGTGCCTCTTGTTTCTGTCCTGGCTGAGTCGTTGCAAACCAGATGCAAAGAGGGTTGGGCTTCTTTTAAGACAAGGTCTGAGTTAGACTGCTCTGCGACGCGTACACGTAAGCCGAGAGGCACATAGATAGCGTGGTAAGCCGCTGAATCAACAGAAATAGCTGACAGATCGACATGAGGGCACTGGTTCGGGGCTTAGGGCTTAGGGAATGTGGAACTGCAGAGCTTCACTTCTGGCACTCCTCCCCTCTCTACTCCTCGTCTTCCTCCCTGCTCCCTCGCTTCATTTTGCTGGCAGAACAGACCATACTAAACACCCAGTTGCCTTTGTAACCGCAGCAGGCTGCTGTCCCAAGCTAGAACCAGGATATAGCAACCCGGTATTTGGATGCTGCGCATCTCGGCCCCCTAAACTCTTGGTCCCTAAGCCCTGAACCCTAACCTCTTGGTCCCTCTACACCCTTCACGCCCTTAGCCCGGAGTTGCCGAGGTCCAAATCGAGCCATCGCTGGTGTTGCAAATGGGAGTTTGGGCCCGAGGGCGTTTCGGAGCATCTTCGGGTTCAGGTAGCAGAAGGTAATATAGGGGCCTAAACAGTTACGGTTAAATATAGAAGCCTAAATAATTACCTATACTACTTTGGGGGTTCCTTATTATAAGTATAGTACAATGGGCTCCAAAACCCTATTCTAATTATTATGGCTCCTATATTATCTCATCTTAATGATTAAGGCCCCAGTACTGCCTCAGTTTCACACTGGAGACGTGGTGTGCAAGGTTTCGGCTGGTTGGATTTAGGGTTTAGAACTGGGGGTTGGGCTTAAGACTGACGGTTTATGGGGTGGACGCAAGAATAAGTGCGGCTTTGGGTGTGAGGCCGTATGTGATTTGGTGAGTTTAGGGCTCAGCACCTGTGACGATGCTTTACAGGCTTCGTGTTTGAAGTATGGTAGAGCTGGGTGTTCGTTTCATTCGTTTGTGACAAACGACACATAAAATACTGTGGTAAGTGTGGATGCTCCAGTGCAGACCCTACACCTAAAACCCTCGAACCCTCACTCTAAGCCATGCCCGGATGCCAGATGCCCCCCCCGATAACTACTGCAACTCCGCTGGTTCAAATGCTGGTACAAACCCTGAAGCGCTGTTGGCCATACACCTAGCAGCCCCCAACCGGGCTTTCAAGATTGCAGTGTCATTTATGCAAGGTCTCAGGTTGCAGAAGTACTCACCCCATTCTCTGCAGAGTGGTGCCGATGACTTGCGGATGAGGACCTTTCAGCCGAGCGCCTGAACCCCAAAGGCCTTCCTGAACTATTTCCGGATCCGTATGATCCTAAACACTGAACCCTAAACCCTTCCATCCAAAACCCTTGCATGCAAAACCCTTCAAACCCTAAACCCTAAACCCAAAAAACAACCCACACCTTAAAACCCTAAATCTTAAACCTCCAACCCCCCCCCCCCCAAACCCCAGGATCCCACCCGTATGTGTTTATTCGGATCCCCTGTCTTATGAAAGTCAAAGGTTTCCCCGTGGTAGTACTCATGTGGTAAGATGGTATCCACTCCCGGTCTCGTGTATAGAGCACCTCATACAATTTCAAGAGGCCAAGGAGGGCATTGCTCAGATTTGGGGCTTTGAGGGTTTGGGGTTTACACGGATAGATTATAGTCATAATTATGGTGTTACGACTAGTTTTGGGAGGCTCCCACAACCAGGCCATTCTTGCTTATCCGTCCAGGTGCCCGATCTCATCACGCTCGATGGTTCGACCACGACGTCCGTGGCCGCGCCCCTGGTGCCATCAGATCTGACGGGCTTGTCCCCAGCTGTACTTAGAGGATCATGGGACTCAGTAAGTAGGGTTATAATTAAGGTAGCTATACTTATAACCCCAATTAGGGGACTTATAACCTTACTTACTACGTCTTATGACCCTCCAAGTAGGGTCCCAAGCTTAAGCAGGTAGCCTGCAAAAAGGTTCCGACTGCTTTTGGGGCCTAAGTTGTTGCAAGACACTTCCGGGTCCGAACTCAGACCGGCAGTGCTTGAAGGACTTCAAGTTTCGGGACGAGAAGGTTAATCTGCTCGACGAGCCAGACATCACAGCCATCGCTGGTTTTGAGCTCTAGCACGGCTCAGGCCAAGATATAACTGAACCCGAAACTTCTAAACCCTAAGCCCCCCAAAATCCTTAAACCCAGCCTAAACCCTACACCCAAGAAAATTGTTCAGCCTTACAATTCGAGCGAGACGCATGGCTCTCTTCTCTCTGAGTCTGACCAGGAAGTTTCCTCGTCCCTTATATTAGGCCTCCTGAACCGCATTTTGCACTCCTCAAAACCAGCAACCTTACGAAACTGAATTTAACTAGTAGCTTATACAAGCCGTATATAAACTCATCCAGTAACCTAAATGAAGAGTAGGTTACTACCCATCTATTAGGCAACCCAGTAACCACTGTTTAGGCAACAGTAGCCCTAGGGTTCAGTGTTTAGGCTTTGTAAACCCTAAACCCTAAACCCTAAACCCTAAACCCTAAACCCTAAACCCTAAACCCTACTTACTAAGTCCCATGATCCTGTAAGTAGCGGGATACATTTCTGCTTTGACATGGCGGCTGAGTTCACGATCCCAACGGATGACGGCGCCTTCCAGGTGGGCTTTCTTGTGAGTTAGGGCTTTGAGGAAGAGTTGCTACAGTTTTTTGTTCTGTTATGTTCTGTTCTGTCTTCTTTTATTCTATTCAGATTCTGTTCTATTCGATTCTGTTCTGTTCTGTTCTATTCTATTTTATGTATGTGTAGGCAAGCTCGTGCGGGCATGTAATCAGCTGTTGCATGGTATCTCCTGTTGGCTCTTGCTGGCTGCTTTCTTTCTCAAGCTAAGATGTTTATACAGCAATGAGCTTAACAATGTGAGTCCTGCCCTGTCGGTCGGCAAGTGGGCATACGGTTTAAGTGTAGTTTGGAGTTTGGGGGGTGTGGGGTTCAGGGCAAGCCTGCCCGGATATGTCATAGCGATGTGGTATTTTCGGTAGGGTAGTTCTCCAAATTAGGGTCCCGGTTTAGGTCCCCAAAATAGCACGGCACCCTTATAAAAGGGACCCTAAAAGTGACCTTACAGTAATTTAGAGAACAACCCAGTAACACTCCGTCAGATGTCAAAATTCGGAGCGGCCGGTCACGCATTGCATGCTTTTGGATCCTGGGCTGAGTGAGGCCACACCCCTTTGCAGGGCTTATCGTTGCAGTGGAGACCTAAAATGTCGGGTTTAGGGTTAGTGTTTTGCAGCACAAAGGGCTTAAGGCCTATCCGGAACCTTGCATAGGAAACACACGTCGGACAGGAACAGAGCAACTTAGCCACGATTCTGGTGATCTCCGCTGCTCGGGACCCAGATTTGGCCGAAGACAGGAGGTTTCCGGGAATCTGCCGGCCTTGTATGGAGCTTTTGGGACCTACGTAGGTCTCCCAAGTTTGCTTTAAGCTTTCTTTCGACTTGCTTGCAGTCCTTTGCTGCTAAACTCTGGAGCCAGTTAGCTAGGTCAAAATCACGAAGACCATGGTCAAACCTGCAGCAAAGCTGAGGCCCTGGAGCGCAACCCCTTCCTCTAAACCCTAAACTTCTCCAAACGAGCAAAAGGTACAAGCCTTGAACGAGGTAGCACTTTAATTACTATGTAATTAAGGCACCTGTATAGCCTAAAGATGCTCTGAGACCTTGTTGTGCGTTCCTACAACATCATGAGGTCAGCCTATGCTTCTGCTCCGTGGTATGCCGAGTGGTGCTATTCCGCCGGGGACCCGGGAAACGATCCGATATAGTAACATGCATGGTGGCCCCTAAATAGTTACCTATATTATTTTGGGGGGCTCCTTAGTACAATGATAGTATAATATACCCCGCTATGCCCTTACGATGAAGGGGTCATAACCTGCTATGAATCTCGTAGGAACATTACGTTGCCTTAGTTAGCCTTCGGGATAAGGTATGTAGGATTGAGAGGATCCGAGACCGTAAACCCCTACCCTAAACTAGCGAAGCCGTTTGCCCCAAATCCTAAATCTCTACACAGAGGGGTCTCAAAGTGATAGTGAGCTTGGTACAGCCCTTGGGTTTCAGAACTTGGGTCTATTCCTTTGAGGTTTGGGCTAAATTAGGCGTTGAGGTTTGTGTGTTTGAGGATTGGGGTTGAGGGTTGGGGGAAAAATGGTAGGGTTTGGGTATTGCGGGGTTCAAGGACTGGGATGTAGGGTTCAGGGTTTGGAGGTGTAGAGTTCGGGACCCCAGTTGCTCAAAGTGCAACATCATCGATTGCATGGGTGCTGGAAAGAAGACAGTCTACCCTTCACCCCTATTTAGTAGTAGAATAGGTAACCCTTTAATGTTTTTGGGGTACTATACTCCCTTTAATGCTACAGGTCAACCTTTAATAATCCCCCGAGTATAGTAGACTCCGTGGGCAATCACTGATATAGCATTTTTTGTTTTGTTATACCGAATCACGGTTTAGTGTTTGTAGGGTTCAACGAGGCATATCCTACAAATGTCAGGGTGGGTTAACGTTTGAAGCTCAAGTGTGATTCGAGATGGCTTTTGGCTTTTTGTTGACAGACATCCTACAGAGATGCGGGTTCAGGGTCTAAGGGTTCTGCCTTTATCCACCCTTTCAGGTGCCAAAATATACAAGCCTGAATGGGTACCAAGAAGTTCCTGGAGCATAGTACAGTGATGTATGGTATACTCAAAAACTTGTCCCAAACAATGCCCCTATAAGCCCTAAAAAAGGGCCCATAAGAGGAACCCTGTTCTATGGAATAAGGCTCCTTTACTACTATTTGTGCCTGCCTCAATATTTGGAATAGGGTTTTAAATTTGGGACCCATTATACTATAAGTATAATAAGGACCCCCCCCCCCCCCAACATAGTATAGGCAAACCCTAAACTCTAAACCCTAAACCCTAAGCTCTAAACCCCAAACCCTAAACCCTAAAACCCTAAGCCCTGAACCCTAAACCTCGCCTAGACATGTTCGAGAGTGAGTGCTGAAACCCTAAACCAAAACCCATTTAGGCCCCTACATTACACCAATCCAGCTCCGTGCTTCCCAATCCAGGCAGCCCACGGTTCCTAAAATCTGAGTTTGGTTTTTTTAAAGCCCTAGAGTTTAGGGATGTAGGCTTTGGGGTTTAGGGTTTAGGGTATAGGTTTAGGGTTTAGGGCTTAGGTTTAGGTTTAAGTTTAGGGTTTAGGGTGTAGGCTTTGGCGTTTATAAGGGTCTTATGAACCTCTACATGACCTTATGAGCCCCTGATGTGACGCGCCTGAACAAGAGAGGCCGCAAGAGACTTCGAGAGGAGAGCCAGGCACGGCACTCGAAAGTCCGGCCCTTCGGGCTTAAGGGGGGTGAGGCTAATGAAGGGGCCTTAAGAATTAGAAGGGGGTTTTGGGGGCTCCTCATTATAATTATAGTATAATGTATTAGAAGGGGTTTTGGGGGGGGTTCCTTATTATAGTTATGGAAAACTATACCCCAGGCCCTATTCTAGTTGTTAACCTCGGCCCCTCTATTATGTGATCTACGCAGTTTATGACTGTCCATGACTCACATGGCGAGTATCGATCGTTGGAGGAAAGGTAGATTGAGCGTTGTGCTGAACACATCTCATAGCTTCAAGCACAAGAGGATTCCGGCGATGTACATGTTAGTATGTAAATACAGTAGCGATAATCCGTCGATGTTCTCTGGTAAATGGTCGCTTGATGTTAGTACTGCCTAATCGCAAGGCATTCGGCCAACTTATTCGTTGCCCCTCAGTTTCGGACACATAAATTGTGGACAGTCAAAGTGCCTCCGACCCCCAAAAAAGCCCGAAACTCGGAAGCCCCAAAACCCGAAAGACGACGACTCCCAACCCCTAAAGCCCTTAACTCTAAACCCGACACCCCAAACCCCTACACCCAAACCCCTTAAGCTCTCAACCCGAAACCCCAAAGCGCTTAACGCCCGAAGCCCTAAATACTACAGGCCCTGCAAAATCTCTGTTCTACCGAAGGCCGCGGCCGCTGCGGGCGAGCGGCCGTCTGGTTTTCAGCTGCTTCTTGGGCTTGGGGGGGGGAGGGGGGAGATTTGGGCTGTACCTGTAGTATCCATTGTAGTTCCTTTTTTGGGATTGAACCAACTTTATGTTTAGGATCCTGTAAGGTATCCCCGAAAAAGGAACTACAATAAAGACTGTAGGTAGGTTTAAGGCTTGGGGTTTGGGGTTTAGGGTTTAAAGTTCATCGGCAGCGCCTTGGGGCTGTGATCTTCTAGCATACTATGTGGCAGATTCTATCCCAAATATTATGTACCGTATAGTACACACGGTCTACGGCAGACTATATAACACATACTGTATACGTACTCGGGAATAACGGTATACTATATACCGTGCACTATGTACCATATACGAATTACGTACGATCTGCTTTCTACTTTATATTACGACTCACTACTCTTAAATTGCACTACACCGTAGTAGTATGGGTTAACTACACCGTAGTAGTATGGGTTATACAGATTTATACATTGTTATAATATCTTAGGTGCATAACAGTCTGGAGCTCCAAGGTGCAGGGTTTGAGATTTCGCGAATCGGTTTTGGGCTGAGGATGTGGGGTTTCATCCTTGATTTCTGAGTGCGAGGACGTGATGCATAGATAGTGCACTACATCTACTATACTATGCTATACTTGGCTAGACTAGATTATACTATACTGCTCTAAAATACCATTGTACTATACTATTAGTTATACTATACTGTTATACTATACTATACTATACTATACTAGACTATACTAGACTATACTAGACTATACTATGCGATGCTATGCTATACTATGCTATACTATGCTATACTATACTATACAGTTGTTTCTTTTCTAGAATCTACTGTACTACAACATACTCAGTAACATGTAGCGCAATAGTAGATTTCATGTGCTGATTGGGTCGGGCTTGTTGTCGCTCAGAGCCCATGGCCTGAGTTGCAGCGTTTCGGGATCCCCAAGAACCAGACCCCGGGGAGGATCCGAGAAGTAGATCCCTCAAGGGCTCCTTTCAGGGCTCTCTTAAAGTGCCCTTACAGATCTTTTCAGGGTATTTCGATTTAAAGTAGACCGTTTAGTAGCAGAGGGTCCCCAATCAGATCTACTTTTGGGGGATGGGGCATCCCTCCAGGGAGGCCCTGGAATGCAAGGGTGTTCAGGCGAATACAGGTGCCTGAAGGAGTACTTAGACTAGTTCAAACTGTAAAGCCCTTACGAAACCTCAAGACTTAGTCGAAAAGCCTGAACAGTGACCGGTGACCAACGTTCTTCTTTGCCTATGAGAATGCTGCACACAGCCAAACTGCATGCTAATAATGAAGGTCTCTATTCTAGATTCATGTGCATCTCGCTTTTTACGAGTCGGGGAACGGTTTTAGGCAACGCAGTTTGGCGAAGGGTCATATGGGTTGTTGGTTTGTTGGCTCAGTATGCACTAGCGCGCTTGGAGTTTAAGGCAAGTTTCGGGTTTAGGGCTTTGGTTCTTTTCGCAGCCGATAATTAAGTAGGAGCTTGTTGGTCAGGATGCGCAATTCGAGCCAAAACCTCAACAACCCCGCATGAAGTTCACGAGAGAAACCCCTTCAGCATCACCCTGAAACTCTGCATCGAAGCTCCAATGCATGCGCCAGACTCGCGCGCAGCTGCAAGACCAGTTCATGTGCCTGCTATGAAGCTTAAACCCTGGTAGCCTTGACATACCCGAAGTCTTAGACAATTTGCGTGGGTTCGTTACATGTCAAGTGTAAGTTACACTAGAGGACAACAGCTCTGTGGAGTCAGGATAGCCACAGGCTCTCGTGAGCGAGCACAACTTTTTGGGCTAGCCAGCCTACGAATCGACCTATATTCGAGAACGCCTTCTGCATTCTGAGACTCAAACCTGATCATATCAGCCACAGATCCTTCAAGTTCAAGAGCCCTACAGTTCGGATCCTGAGACCCTAACTCCCAGACGCGAAGCCCCCAGCCCGGGATCATGAGCTGTCCGAGCCATACGCCATGGCCCCCACCAGGCCGCTTTAGCCTTGTTCTGAAACACTGTGGTCAGACTTAGTGGCTGAGTCGGTAACCTTTAACCTTTTGGGCTAGGGTACTCAGCCCCTAAGTAGAAAGTATGTCCTATGATCCTTTAGGTAACCCAGTATTGTTAAGACATCCCAACTACTACAAGTTCCGTACTTCCTTGGTTTAGGAGCATAAGGATTTTCTGAACTTTTCACGGACCTCAGCTTTTCACGGACCTCAGCTTAAAGATCCACAAGATACTTTTACAGAGCATGCTAGGTTTTTGCTCGTTTTAGGTTGGCTCGAAAGGTCTAGGGCTGTAGGGTTTAGGGCCTAAGGGTAGCCTGGGTTCGCGGTCTGAAGCCTCAGGAGATTTAGATTTTACGGTGGGCAGTTCTTGGTATCACCCTCAACTGGTAGATGCGAATACTTTGGGGGCCGTATCGTATCTCAGAGGCTCAACAATTCCGCATGGGCTAAGGTTCAGGGTTTTAGGGTTTAGGGTTTGTGAAGAACGGCAGAAGAGGCAATGCTGGCAGTCATCAAAACCCACAGAGCTCAAGACCCCACGTTTCTTTGGTGGTAGAATTATAGTTCTTGCATTTTTGGTTCCGTGCGTGCAGCTTGTCCTCAACTAAAGGACGAAGTTGCCATGCTTTGCACTGAAGGCCAAGATTCGAAAAACGGTGTGGCCTCTCAGGAGCCCTCTCTTCAGGATTTCGAGCTCTCTCTCTCTCTCTCTCCATTAAAGGGTCCTTCCTAGGGCTTAGTGACGAAGCGGTTCGGGTTTAGGGTTTAGGGTTTCGCTCTCTCTCTCTCTCTCTCTCTCTCTCGCCTCGCAAGTCTCCGCTTATGCAGTAAGCCCTAAAGCGCTATTGCCCAAACCTTCCCGGACAGGGTTGGCTCAGGGCGGGCCTCGGAAGTCAGTTTTGTTTGGGCTGTAGTCTGTAGGGTGTAGACTTCAGACATGAGGATTGGGTTTGGGGGGTTTAGGGGTTTAGAGGTTTATAGGGGTTTAGGGGTTTAGGGGTTCAGAGGTTTAGGGTTTTAGGGGGAACCCGGAGCCAACATACGGGGAATGGAGTCTGGATGTATACTCAGGACGAAGTGGATGAAAGGGCTGTGGTTTGAATTTATACTCCCGGACCCTGGAACCCTAAACAGACCGGGCAGGTGGCAATAAGTATCTTACACACCCAGACGCTGGGGCCTCGACCCTAAATTACTTTGGGTTTAGGATTAATCCTAAACCCTAAACCCTAAACCCTTAACCCTAAACCCATATTTCATCCGAGCCGCAAGCTCTCATGTTATGCACGGCGCTGGCTTGTAGGTAGTCCCACATGGTCCTCGGCCCGCTGTTAACAAAGAGGCTCGCATAATCCCAAACCTGGAGCACCTCCAAACGTGCCCACGGTCGCAGGTTCTCCCGAACCCTCAGCCCTAAACCCTGAACCAACAGGGGCCCCACTGCCTGGGAGTCGAATGCCGCCGTGGCGGCTGCGTGTAAGGCCCGCTTCCCAGCTTTGGGGGACTACAGGGTTCAGGGTGGATTCCGGATCTGAGTGTTCGATGTGGTCGGCGGGGTGAAAGGGCAGCCGCGGATGCGGGGCCCTAGCAGACAGTCCTGAAACGGCCCGCATAGGATTTCGGTCAGGGCTTTCAGACGCAATTCTAGATGAAACCTTGAACTTAACCTGAATGGAACCCTAAACCCTAAACCCTAAACCCTAAACCCTAAACCCTAAACCTGGACCCTGAAAGATGACGCTGAGCCCATCACTTCCATGCCAGCAACGCAACACCAACGAGCTGAAGAATCCGCATGCAGGGTTTAGAAGCGCGCTGGAAGCCTTTTTCGGGCTGAAGCTTACCAGGATGGGTTTAGGGGTTTTGGGTTTAGGATTTCGATGGGGTTACGTTTTTCGGGGTTTTTGCCATATGAGTTAGGGTTAGGTGCCAATGGGGGTTAGCGGGGCTGGTCGTCGAGCTTTGAGTCAATGATATGTGGTTTCCGTCCATCGGGTTCAATATATTGTGACTTCAGGGGTGTTGTTGCTATCCCGGCTAGCTGCGCTTTTTCTGACCCTTGGTTTTGATTATTTGTTATATAATCATGATTATTAGTGGGTCCATGAGCGTTTAGGACCCTCATATCGGAAAGCCTCGTGTGGAGAAGCCAGCATACCTCCGGCCCTCCCAAACAGAAAACGGTGGGCCATAGCTTTTTGCAAACGCCGAAGGCGCCGGTCAACTAAGCAAAACCCTAAACCCTAAACCCTAAACCCTAAAACCCTAAACCCTAAAACAGTGGGCTTAGGGTTTGGGGCTTGGGGTTTAGGGTTTGGGGCTTGCTACCGCCCACCCTCCACGCCCAAACCGTGAAGTCTCTCCGCTAAGCCCCAAACCGTGCCTGTCAGGGTAGAGCCAGCTGGCAGGAGGCCGTTATCTCCGTCTTGAGGGAGGATTACTTTTCATTATAAGTGTCATGCCTTAAAATACATACATACATACATACATACATACATACATACATACATACATACATACGAATAATAATAAGAAAAAATTTTTAATAATACTAATAACAATAATATATATATATATATACATATATGTATATGCGCACAATATATGTCCCAAATACTGTCCGGACCCTCAACTGCGGTAGGCTTCAACCTTTCGGAGTTCTGGCGGTGTCGGTTTAGCATGTAGGAGGTGTTTCGCAGCCTCTCATGTCGAAGTGCTAAGGGATTCACCACCGTCATTTCCTACTTAGATGATGTAGGGGCCTATAGTTTAGGGTTTGGGGTTCAGAGATATAAACAATTACCTGTAGTATTTTTTTTTTGGGGGGGTTCCTTATCATGAGTATAGTAGAATGTGCCCCAAAACCCTATTCAAATTATCAAGGCCCCTATAGTTAGATACGATGCTTTGCCTGCTCTAGGTCAGCAATGGCATTCCCAAGCCACGAACATAGCTTGAGCCATACCTCTAGCTGAAGTGCCCAGGGAGCAAAATGCTTGCCCAAGGTTTACGGTATAAGGTTGACGGTTTATGGCCAGGATTTCCAGGTCAAACAAAACGTTAGAATTTCTTGCGCTTGCAGAGCAAGTTTCCTTCAACACCTCACCCGCTTTCCTCTCCTCGAAATCCCGAGCCCTAAACCCTACTTGACACCATACTGCTTAAAGAAGGTGTAAACCGCAACCATGTAATTCATTTATTTTAATCATTGTGCCGGAAGCGGTGTAGCAATGAACCCGAAGTAACCAAACTACCCGTAGTATTTGGGGGAAATACTTGCACGAAGCACAGCCGCAATTCCTGATTTGTACTATGGGGGTACATGGGCTTTTTCAAGGCTACACCCCATAGTCCTGTAATCGTTGGCCTGAATCCTGTGTAAAAGTGTCCCCCCTTTGCCCGTATGAAACCTTTACAGTAGGCCTTTTCTACTACTTAAAGCCCCCCCCCCCCACACTCAGAGCTTTGCGACATAACAGGGGGATGTAGGCGTTTGTTGGGCATGCTTCGAAGGGTGTTCTTGAGCCTTGTTTGTTGCTCAGCGTCCGGTAAGGGTTGTCAGGATTTTCGGGCTAAGGCTTTGGGGTGTACGGTCCGTGGGAAATTAGGTTGGGGCTTCGGGGTTTTATTGGTTCGAGGTTAGGGCCGGGTGAGACAAATTCAATCAAAGGTCTTTAGGGGTTTATAGGGTTTACCTATAGTCTCCATATGTCTCCACTGTAGTTCCTTTTTGGGGATCCCTTATAACATCGTTAATATATACTTGGTTAAACCAAAAAAAGGAACTACTATGGAGACTATAGGTAGGGTCTAAGTTTGGCAGGCTGCCCGGCTCTTGCTGCAGCTGCCGGCAGCCGTTGCCTCAGGGGCTGCGGGGCTTCGGCTGTTTATTTTGTGGGCTCCGGGTGTACTCGTCGCGTAATGCCCCTCAAATCAAGAAATATATCCCGAGGAACATCATAAAAGGCCCTCTGCTTAATTGAACTTGTAACGTGAGCTCTGCAGAAAATTGCCGATTGTGGTTCCTTCCTTGAGGTAGGCATCAAGAATTCAAGAGTAGGGTCTATGCTTGGCCGCATTCGCATGCAAGTGTTCGGCTGACAGCAGGCTGCTCCTGCTAGGTATGCTACTAGCCCTCTAAAGCCCACCGAATTCTGATGCAGTTATCGGAAACCTCGATAATGGGCACTGCACCACATCCGCGATTGGGAACGCTCAGATAGGGCGTCACAAGCTAACCCAGCTCAGTAAAACATACTGGGCATGCCGTGCCTCACAACCCTGTTTAGTTTGTCGAGTCCCCTGTGGTAGAAGAAGTGTTGGATCACCCTTCGATACTATAGATATCTGGTATCTACTTTCTGTTACGAGAGCGAACTATGCAACATCCCCAAGAATCAGAAGCGACCCGGCTATTCACTGCAGGATGCACTGAAGTAACACGACCCTGATTCTGGGTACCCCGTTTTGAAAGCCCACGATCCAAGTTTTGTAAGGCCCATGTTGCATTCCTTCTTAGGTCTGTCTATGATGAATGCACCTGTTTGTCGATGCCAGGAGAGAGTGGCACCAGACTCCTATGCCGGCAGCGCGGTCCTGCGCACGGTGTCCCGAGGTGCGGTGCAGGAAGAAGGTCGCTAAGCAAGATGCGTTGTGTTTCGGATTCAAGGCCACGTGGTGGGGTTCGGGATGGGGGTTGCTTAGTTTCGGTAGATGGTTTCGCTTCGTGAATATACGGGTTATTTTATGGGTGTTCAGTGTGTCTAGCGTAGTCCTCACATTCAGGTGTCCTTTGTAAATTTCGCACGGGTCCGAGCAGGCACTGTCGAGGTGGCAGAGGGTGCAGGCTTATGGTTGCGATGATTCCTTGTTCAGACCTGCTCGAGAGAAGCTCCGGATGCTTGCAGTGGTGGGTATTGCTCCATATTGCCATGGCAGGGTGGAGCTGTGACCGTTCGTAATGACGACATGCCACAGGCCGGAAGAACACAACTCAAGCTCGATCCTTAATGTAGAGGCCTGAATAGTTAGACTAGAGGTTTGGGAGCCATTGTGTTCTGCTATTTTTGTAAAAAGGACCCCACCCCCCAACAAAAAAAAAAGAGTAGTATATTGGTAATTATTTAGGCCCCTATATTAGATCCATCAGCTCTGAAACCCCAACAAGGCTTTCACCGTACAAGTCTCATGGGCCCCAAGCTGCGAACCCGGTGAACCCCCATCGTCAAAAGAGCAACCTAACCCTAAACACCCTAAGCCATAAACCTTAGACCTAAAACCTAGCCCTAAACACCCTAAGACATAAACCTTAGACCGAAAACCTGACCCTAAACACCCCAAGCCATAAACCTTAAGCCCTAAACACCCCAAGACATAAATTAACCTTAAAACCTAAAACCTAACCCTAAACACCCTGAGCCATAAACCTTAGAACCTAAAGCTAAACCCCCCAAAACCCTAAAGCCTTAGACCTAAAACCTAACCCTAAACCCCCCGCTAAAACCCGAAAGCCTTAAACCTAAAACCTAACCCTAAACACCCTAAGACATAAACCTTAGACCTAAAACTATAACCCCCAAAAGCCCAAAACCCTAAAACCTTAAACCCTAAACCCTAGACCCCCAACACCCTAAGACATTAACCTTAGACTTAAACTTAAACCTAAATCCCAAAACCCTCAAACCTTAAACGCTAAACCGTAGGCCCAGGGACCCTTAGCCTGCCAGCCCTGAGCTTCCCCAGGCCGCTGGGCCAGGGACTGAGCCTGCACAGGTGGATGCGAGCATCGCGGTGAGCTAAAGCAGCTTAGGAGGGCTTTTATGGCTTACTTAAGGGTTTAGGGTTTAGGGCTGATTTTGGGGGGCTCCTTGCTACAATTACTTAAAGGATCATGGGACTTAAGTAAGGTTACAATTAAGACAACTATACTTATAATCCCAATTAGGGGACTTATAAGCTTACTTACTAAGTCCCATGATCCTCCAAGTACCCTAACCCACCAGAACCTACTTTTTTGTAGGGTCATGAATCCCATATGAGGGTTTATAATAAGAGCCTACAAAAAGGTGGGTTTTGGTAGGTTAAGGTAGGAGTCATTTTGGGATTCAGGGTTCAGAGTTTGTCCTTTGTGAAGCCTCTTGCCTCTCCTGAAACATCTTGGGAGAACTCTAACTTTCCCCGGCGCCAACTTCCCACGCCTGGATGCAGAAGGGCTTGCGGCCCTTCGGGCTTCGGGGGCCCTTGGGTGTAGGAATCGGGTTTTGAGGGCTCCGGAACACCCCCTAAACCCTAACCCCTAAACCCTAAGCCCTAAACCCTAAACCCTAGGCCCTAAACCCTAGACCCTAAACCCTAAACCCTAAACCCTAAACCGTCCGGAACACCTTATGGACCCTCGAACCCAGGATCTGGGTTAAGGGTTGACGGTCCAGTCCGGAGTTGCAAGTTGATGGGGTTTTAGGGTTTAGGGGTGTCAGGGTGTAGAGTCACGTGTTAAGGGGTGTTTGGGGCTTGAAAAAGATCTATCATTCCAATCAGGTCTACCGTTTTTCCAGTGTCCCGGTTCTAAGCTGTTTTTGGAGTGTGTTCGTCGCAAAAATACACGAAAACGTCTTGTGCATATTCTGGCGCCCTACTTTCAAATCTCGGGCTTTGTAGAAGCCTACATCCTGTAGCAGACAACAAGTGCCCCAGCCCCCAAACCCGTAATTACTTTCGCTAGAGGTATCACTCCGGATTTCTACACCCAAAAATCCCATGCCCTCCCCAGCACTCAGGACGGCTCGTTGCAGCTATGGTCCTGGCTCCACCAGTGCTCCCCCAGCGCATGTGTCTTGGTTGCAGACAGCTGCCTGCTGTTACAGCAAGGATTGGATAACGTTCCAGGCACACCAACTCGTGGTTGTTGGGCTACGTGCCACCCCTCCAAACTCGCAGACCGTAGAGTATGTTGGGCCGTTGTGTTTTTTTTTGATGAGGCCCCTAAACCCTCAACCGTAAAGCCCTACTAAAAGCTCCAAACCCGAAGCCTTGAACGAAACCTCAAACCCTAGACCCCATAGACCCTCACCCGCAGAGCCTGTGCCAAATGCAGGCTGCATTTGGCTAAAAGTTCTTCTGCAGCCCCTACATTCTCTTATGAAGCCGCAGAAAATCCCTAAACCCCCAAACCCTAAACCCATAAACACCTGCCCCGGGCCTAGGTGACGAGTTCACAGGTAGCGCTGTGCTCAACGGGTGCTGGGCACCTAGAAGCGGAGCGTCCGTTTGCTTAATTATAGGGTTTGGGTTTTAGGGTTCAGGGTTACGAGTGCTTGAGGTCGAGAAGCGTAATGCTTGGGGTTTCGGGTAGACGGTTGAGGGTTTGGAGCTACGGGAGAGCCGGTTTGTTTAGAGGGTTGTCGAAGGTGTTGTTACACGCCGTGGGTTTATAGGGGTCAGGACTTTAGGATGGATCTCCTGTTTTAGGGTTTGTGGATAGTTGCACAGGTTCAGGCTTTGTCCTTTACCTGAGGGCTTATATTCTTCGCCCTCTTCAATCTGCTGGTTTCAGGTTGCCTGGTTTTCGGGTTTGCGGCTATTGAGAAGCATGCGCATGTTGATTTTATTTATGGAATTCAGAAGTGCCGCTGGACAAAAGCGAACCTGCAGTATCCACCCCCCCTCCGGCAATAGAAGCTCGAACAGATTTTTTACAATTATAATAAGGTGGGGTTTATCACTCTGAGGATTCTCGCTCCTGCTGCGGCTCCTGCTCCTGCTCTAGCCCTTGACCCTACTCTTGTTGTTCCTCTGCCCTGGTTCCTTCTCCTGCTGTTGCTCCTGCTCTTGCTCGTGAACCCCCCAATTCAAAACCGGTTGTAAAAGGCGCGAATGATTGTAAGGGTGTTTTCCGGATTTCTTTTTAGGGGGCTATTGGACAAGGGGGGGAAGTGATGGATCAGTAATCGACTACCATCTTCGGCGAAAGCATCGCTCTGGAGTGTTCAGCACACAGATTCGGGTGTGTAGGGTGATACGGATCCTCGTCAGGGCGGCCAGGTTCCCGCCCAGAGAAGCACGAAAATCACTAAAACTATCAGCCCTAAACCCTAAACCCTCAACCTTAACCCCAGAGCCTTTTTGCCTCGAACGGAAAAAAGCTGCTTGGTAAGCGATACTTAAACACAAAGACCCTGAAGCTTCCACAGCATTGTGCGGCGAAAGGCCAAAGAAAGTAGACATCCTAAACCCCTAACCCCTAAGCCTTAAAACCCTTAAGCTTCAGCTAAGACCGCCATACTTCTTGAACGATGGCGGCCTTTTTCGGTCGATCACAAAGCGGGCCGTGTATACATCAGTTCACCTAGACCTTCCATCCACCCGCTGTCAGACGCTAATTAACTACCATTTGGGGCCGACTGTTCACTACACCCTAAAGCCCTAAGTTCGGGTTCAGTCATCTTCAAAGCTTTTCTTCGCGAGGCGCCCGGAACCGCCGCTGGGCGGAGGCGGTCGGCACGCTGGCGACGTTGCGGGCGTGGGGAGGAAGGCCGCTAGCTTTCTGGTAATATAGGGGTCTCAAGAATTACCTATACTATATTGAGCGCTCCTTATTACAATTATGGGCAAGATGCCCCCCAAAACCCTATTCAGATTATTAAGGTCCCTGCATTAGAGGGTTTTTAGGATCGAGGGTTTAGGATTCAGGTTCTTGCTTGTGGATATCACGGCATAGGGAAACCCAAGAAACCCTCACTCCGGCATGGTGTCGAAACCCTTTGTAGTACTTGGGGTTATGGCAAACCGAGTTGAAGAGACCCCGATGTATATAGACGTTGGAAAGCTATATATAGGCCGAGGATGTCGAACTCCACAGGACAGAGTTCCCGATGCTTAGTTTAAGTTGCACTGGGATGGTTTCGTGTGCTGTCTTTGTTGCTTGCGGTTGACGCTTGCTGCGTTGGCTTGTGCATCGCTGCTTTGCTATACTGGTCCGCGGGCACTGCAGGAACAAACTATTAGAAAAGCCCTTTACGCCCGGCCCCACGTCGTTCGGCTCGCTGACTTTTTGACAGACTACGGTTGAGGGTTTGGAGGGTTAAGGGCTAGGGCAAAAGGATGTGAAGGTTTTAGAGCTTTGGGGCTTCTGGAGTTGAGGGATGGTTGCGTCGGTGACATTTTGTTCACGTCCCGCATGACGCGCCAACGATATCGTAAGTGATTTTTGGGACCTTTGCACTGTAACCTCTCTGAGGGATTCACTCAGTAGGTTCCGGGAGTCAGCTCTTAGGCTTTTCAGGGTTTAGGGTTTAGGGTTCAGGGGCTCTTCAGGCCCCCCCCAAACCTGAAAGCCCTCAATCGCGCAGATTAGATTCCGACCCTCAGGCCCAAGTAATTCCCATGCCCCCCCCCCCCCAAAAAAAAATGCATCCCAACACATCTACAACAGATATGGTTGTCATGAAATTATATGCACTGATATCCCCTAAACCCTATAGACCCTATAGACCCTAAACCCTAAACCGAACCCTAATATCCTAGAACCTCGAAGGCTTCCTGACTGGAACACGGGAGCCCGGTGTTCGGATGCAATTTCAATGTATCCGAGTCCGCTAGTATAGGGCCTAAATTAATTACCAATACTATTTGTACTATTTTGGGGGTTCCTTATTATAAGCAGAGTAGAATCTACCCCAAAACCCTATCCTAATTATTGAGGCCCCTATAGTACTTGGACTGCCCATCGAGGGTTTGCAAACCCTACAAAGGCCTGAACAGGAAGCTTCTAACCCTCCGGTAAACTACACTCTACACTGGTGTAAAGACATGATATCCCTATATATGTCCTTAAACAAGTAGGCCGTTGGAGGGGGTTTAAGGCACCCCCTTGACCGCCACGACCCAGACAGAGCGCTTTGCCCGAGGGGAAGTGCCCGAACCCAAGCAATTCCTCCTGGCGCACGTGAGGCTTGATGTTGTCACATGCAGCGCCGTTTGCCCCTGAGTTGGCCTGGACGGAGAAGTCGCAAAGGCATTCCAAAGTGGATATAAGCTGCTTTTCCTCCCTATATGATATATTCCGTTTGAGCCAAGAGAGGCTCCGGGCATACTGAGACTCTGGCAACGACTACGCGTGAGGTGATATGTGAAGTAGGATGTGGGGAAGTAGATCACCCTAAACCCTAAACCCTTTATTCTGAAGGCAGACGCGGAGCCCCCGAGCTGCCAATGAAGCCAAGCGTGGATCTTTGTTGATACATGAGCCTTGCTTGGTGAATTCTTCATTGCGCCTCCAGGGCATAACTATAGGGTTTAGGGTTTAGGGTTTAGGGATTCTCGCAGAAAGCCGCAATTCCAATACCTGCTTTCCGACTGAGGCCGTAAGTGCTTGCGAGCGCGCCCGGCGCCAAGGGCTGGAACATCCATCTTGCTTCGGCTCTGAACCTATACCCTCAGACTCCAACTGCACAAATAGAACCTACTTTGGGGGTCCAAAATCAAAAAATAGTAACCGCTTTGGGCGAATATTCGGAGCATTAAGTGATGCACTTCCAAGGTGAACATGAAAGGCTGGGATTCGTGTTTCTGTTACGTGTCTTGCTTGTTCAGAGAACAGCATGATGCTTCCCGGCCTGAACTCGGCAAGCCTGCGGAAAAAAGGGATACAGCATCATCGGCCCTATTGCCAGGCCCTCTTGGCACACTCCTCAAGCACCGAAGTCTGCAAACTGCAAGCCTGACACAAAGCCTGCAACATAAAGGGCTTCAGACTCAGAACAGGGTTTTTGGGATCTATTGTGGTATAGATATGAAGGGAGTGCTCTGAAGGCGAACAAAGAAGAATTCAGGCGCTGAATACAACTCCTGGACACCAAATCCTTGCACGCCTGTGCCAGTCTCCTTAGGTCACCCATTGTCCCAAGTTTGCTTTGCTCTACCCCAACTAAAGCTGAAGACCAGGAGCTAGGGTAGTAGAATACACAAGCCTGAATCTTTTGTAATGCTGTTTTTTCGAATTCCTTAATACAGCCTCATATTCATATATCCCAGCACCCTCATCCTAAGGCCTCTCCGTTGTATACTGCTTTAGGGCTTAGCATTTAGACTTGTGTTACCCTGATTTTTAATGCGTTGCTGTGGAGCCTGGCTTTTGAAGTGAGGCTCAGCCCTCACAGTGGCCTCGGGCCCTTCGCATGCTTCGTGAGACGCCGGAGGAGTTGAGATTTGAAGCTTTCTGGGTTTCGGGTTTGGGGTATATAAGGTTGATGTACGGTTTCAGGGTTTAGGGTTTAGGTTCAAAAAGGTTGATGTCAAGGTAGGGTTGAGGCTATCCAGGGTAGTTCTGGCACTTAAGGTAGTTCTGGTATACAGCGTTTTTGACGGCTGTGCCGAAAACATGAAGGGACCAGGAGATTGGAATATAATATAGGGGGCCTTAATAATCAGAATAGGGTTTGGGGTATTTTATACTATAAGTATAATAAGGACCTCCCAGAAACCTATTCTAATTATCAAGGCCCCTACTAGAGGCTTTGGGATTTGGGCTTCGGGCCCCAGGTGCTTCATCAAGCGAGGTAGGAACATGGACGAAGGATGGCCCGTGGTGATCTCTATACTTTGCGTTTGGAGCTCAGCGGTAAGCCCCAAACCTTATAAACCCTAAACAAGAAAACAAACCCCAAGCCCTAAACCATAACCGAGGAGCGTAGATTTGCAAGCTTTCTTTCTTCAACTCTGACGTTCGGGTGGCTCCAGTGTCTCGGGGCTCTAGTTGGGTGTAGGGATCCCTATAACTGCTTTAATAATGGTTTTGGGGTTGAGGGTTTAGGGCTTGTACGAAAGTTATCTACGGAGTGTAAGAGGCTGCTGTTAGTAGTTAGTAGTTGTTCAGACCCATCCATTCAACGATTTATATTTGGCTTTCCATTTTCTGAGACTTCCAGGACGAGTTCGCTTGCAGTCAAACCTTTGGTCAGGGTTCTATACCCTAAACCCTGAACCCCAAACCCTAGGCCCTAGATCCTAAACCCTTAAACCTAAGGCCTCTAGGGCTTATGGGTTCTGGTCTTATTGACCTTGCAGTCATGTGTACCGGCCGTTTGCTTTCTCTGCGGCTTCAGGACAGAGGGTTTGCAGACTATGATGCGGCCATCTACACCTTGCCTTTCGGGGTTTATGACCCTTTGTTGGGCTGAGATTTAGGAGAGGCTACATACTGTTGATGATATAGATCCTGCATGACCTTCAGGACCCTAA